ACACACACACACACACACACACACACACCATGTCATGTTGACCGTACAGATACCTAATAATTTTTGAAGGAATGACTGCATGCATCACAAAGCAAATCTATCATCTGCTTATTAATTTTTGATACCTGTCCTATTTGCACCTGGTTTTCATCTCTGCCCAGATTTCCATAGAACTGTATTTCACAAAAAAGAACTTCAATCACGTTTGCAGTGTTTTCACAGCCACTAATTATTGTGTAGCTGTAAGAAAATTCTAAGAAAGACTTACTAATCCAGCTAAAAAAATAAAATGTACCCTGTTACATGGCAGAAGGCAGAAGATCTTTGTCTTCAAATGCCTGACAACTTAAACTGGGAAATAAGGAACCAGGGAATTCAGACAAAGACAGGAAGGGGGCCTGCTATGTACACAATATACCTGCAACAAACACAAAAAACAGCCAAATTTATAGAAAATATAAAATCAAATGTGAGGAAGAGAAAAACCACATCAATTAACAAAATAAAACTAGAGGAGAGCTAACTTGACCCATCTTAATATATATGCAGTGCCTTTCCCAGACTGGTACCAAAGCTGTAATCGCCAAGACATATTTCAGACCAACAGTGTCTGCTTGGGAAGGCAACTATAACTTGTAGGAAAATATTTTGAACCCAGACTAACTGAAAAAATATCTGTATGAGTTAACTAAAGGTCTTTAAGATACAATACCTCAAAAGAAGTAACATATTTAATTTCTTTTAAATACATATTGTAATGGCTAAGGGCTCTTAAGTTTAAAGTACTATATGACTACGTGAGACTCGTTCATAATGAGTATTTTTATTACATTACTCTTGGCACTGCTAAATTATACAAAGATATCTTAATTAAATTAAACACTGCTCCAAGGATAACCCATCCACTACTGATTTTATTTACATCAAAAACAAGTTTATACTGTAAATACTGTGTTATCTGAAATTTCAAGAAAGAAATGATCTAATGGCCTAACTCCAAAATTTCAAAAGTTCAATTTCCAAAAACTATCTTACTGCTATTTTCCCACTAATTTGGCTTAAAAATCTATTGGCTGTGACAAAAAAAAAAAAAAGAAAAGAAAAAGAAAATTCAGAACACTAATTGAATTTAAATATTAATCAAAAGTAAATTTTCTAAATGCAAGCTATTTTATAAACCATTACACTTATAGAAGAAAACATACCAAAACATGAATAGTAGCTGTTTCTAGGAAGTTGGTCTAGAATTATAAGTTACTTTATTTTCTTTGTTCATACCTTTCTGTATAGTCTATAAACATTCATTATTTTTATAATTAATACGTTACTCAGAAGCAGCATAAACCTTTATATTTTTTATTCCAGTTTTATTTCATACCGCCTACCTTTTTTTCCCAATCATTATTCAGGGATTCTGCACTTTGTTCGCATATCTTTTTCAGCTCTGCGATCTGGTTTTCTTTAGTCTCTCTGATAACTTGAGAGTCACGTATAAGGGTCTGAACTGTCAAAAATTATGAAAACATGGTTAAACCAATTCTAGCTACCACAGAAGAGTCTGAAGATGAAAAAATACATAGAGGACTAGTGAGTAGATAATTCCATTCTTCACCAAGTCTAAATTCTCTCTTCTAAAACACCTTATTCTTTCCTCTTTTTCTCTCCATTTCCACCACCACAGCTGTGGTTGAATCCACCATTACTCACGCCCTAGACAATTTTAACAGCGTGCTGGCCTCCAATGGGCCCTCTGTTGCATTAAAGAGGTCTTTCTACAGTGCAAATCCAGCAATGTTACCCCCAGATTTGAAAAACAAAACACAAAAAAAACCCTCTACAGTTCCCTTCACCTAAAAGATAAAGGCCAAAACTTCTAACACAGAAAATATTAATAGCCCCTCATGATCTGGCTACTTGCTGGCCTTATCCTTTGCCAATGTCATATTTTTAAACTTGTGCTGTAAACACACCAACCTTTCTGCAGATTCCTGAGGCCATAGTCTTTCATATATCACAGCCTAAAGATGATCACTTGTCTACCTAGGATACCCTTCCCTCCCCGGTTGAAAATCCTACTCATTCTTAGTCTCAATTCAGGTATCACCCTCTTTATGAGCCATTCACCAACCCCATTCCTCCTCTTATAGGGGCAGAAAGAAACTCTTCTGTGCGCCCAGGGACCCTCACATACTTCTCCATTAAGTCACTTATTACATTAGGTGTTACAATGGTGTACTTGCCTATTTCCTAGGAGAAAGATATTTCAAGTTTTTATCTACGGAGCATAACAGTGTCACACAGGCAAGTGCTCAAAAAGACGCATGCTGAACAAATAGATGGAGGAACCTACCATTTCAATATATCGTTGCTCCTTAGGGACTTTAAAATCATTGCCAAGGTTTACATTACTAAAACAAAATATGCTTTAAATTATATGAAATATTTCCCTCACAAATCACTTTTTAAAATTTCCATCTTTTTTTAAATGCCTTAAACTGTCACTGACTTAAGTGAAAATTTGTTTAATATATTCATGTCATCTAAATGGTAAAATAAATCCAGCTGTAGGTTTGCTCGAATGTAATATTTTTTTTAGCTTGCTGAACATATTCTTATTCACTTACTTCAAGATAGCAAAATTTAATTCTGTAACTATGTATGGTGATGGATGTTAACTGGACTTATTGTGATCATTTCACAGTATGCCCAAGTATCGAATCATTGTGTTGTACATCCAAAACTAACATAATGGCTATCAATTATACCTCAAAAAAGATAGCAACTTTTTCATATACATTTACATAGACATTTCTTTCACTCTTATATCTCAACTATGCAACAAATAAGGGGAAAAGGAAAAGAATCCAAGTTAACCTAACCTTAGTCTTTATAACATTTTACTTCACAATTCTAAAATTAAACTAAGATCTGTTTGCAATTCAAAAAGCCTTAAGAAATATTATTTTTAAACCTTTGGTATATTTAAATTGCCTAGTTTAAATCAGAGTAAGAAACAAAAACCTAGAAATAAATTTAAAATATTTTTGTAGCTATTGATATTTGGAGAAAGAACCTGATAAAATTTCTAACCGACATTTAAGACTGGAAATGAACCTAAAAATAGCAATTTCATTATTAATTTATATATGTAATTGTCATCCTAAATTTCACGGGCATTACCATTCCCTCAGATACCCTAAGGTTTGGTGAGTTGTGAAAGAGCCAGTAAGTTCCATATGAAAACCCCTAAATGAAAGCCTTCTCTCCCCTTTCCTCTTACTCATCGCCTATATCTTATCATTCACTAAATCCTTCAAAATTTCTTCTTCAGCTCCAGTCTCATCACTACCACTGCCATCGTCCAGGTATTCTGGGTCCTTATCATCTTACATGTAAAATTACAGAAGCATGGAAACATAAACTCTTTGAGTTGGGAGGGACTTGATGTATTATTTATTGCAACAGCACCATTTTATAATGAGTAAGCCAAGGCCCGGAGACTTCCTCACGTCATATGGCAGACATCGAAGAGCAGGGCTGAGAGTAGAGCCTGCGTTTTCTAGTAAGCGGGATGTTCTCTCTCTCCCGCGCTATTTTGCCTCTGACTTATTATAACAGACTAGGAACTGGCCTCACCGTGGGGGCACATCCACCATTAATTACAAGGTTACTCTTGAAACTTGAGGTCCTAAAACTCACCTCTCAAAAATCTCTGATTCCCCAGCATCTACAGGATAAACTTGAAACGTCTAAATCTGAAATTCAAGGTCATGCTTACGTCATGCCTAGTCACCTATCTTTTTCAATCTCTCTCTTAATGTAAAGGATATCCACTCTAGCTAAATGGTTTTGCAGCATCCTCCCCAAACTTACCAATACCAGCATTCCTACTGTAATACCTAGACACTTGCAGAAGTTCTTTTCTCCAAAAATGTTTTCAATAGTCTCTAATGGCTGCCTATTGCATTTAGATGTTTTGGCTTATAATCATAGTCAATTTAACACTTAATCACATGCTTTCTTTTCCTTCTTAATTAAAGTGTAAATGGGGAATACTTTTTAAATGTTTGTTCTGTCAATCACAATACTAGCATATACTATAAGGCATAATGTAGATGCTGCATATAATGAATTTTATTAGACCAAGAGGAGTAATTTCCCTAGACTTCTTTGTGAAAGCCAGTAAATTCTAATTCTATGACTGGCCCACGGCAGCCCAATAAGGAGGAGGGTTAAGAAGAGGGAGTGAGGGCCCGCCGAGTGGCTCAGTTGGTTAAGAGCTCGCTCAAGCGTTTGAGCTCTGAGCAACAGTGGTTCGAGTCCTGGCCCGAGCTGAGCAGCCGCTGAGCTGCCAACAGGTGGCAGGATGGCTCAGCTAAAAAGAAAGAAGAGGGAATGACAGTTACAGACTCTGCCAACTCCTGAGCCAAACCAACCACCATTACTGCCACCACAGACACACACACACACACACACACACGCACGCACGCACGCACACACGCACGCACACAGTTTTTCCCCATTCATATGAAAGCTCACAGAAACACATCCACTGATGGAAACCCACATAAACATTCCCATTTCACACTTTACAAAAGGTCAGAAATAAAAATTTCGCTTTATATAACCACTAAAATAAAATGGAAATATTATTAAAGACGTATGTAACAATGCAACATCACCTTTCATTTCAAGTTTTCTAATAGTGTCCTCTGTTTCGTTTTGTTTCTTTTTGTATAAAGTTTTCAATTCTTCTATTTCATTATTCTTTCTTTCTAAAATCTGCAAATGAATTTAAAATGGTTTAGTGTATTATGTTGTTTTACATATAGAACTCGTAATTTTAAAAATAAGCACAGTATTTTTCGCAAGTCCATCTCAGCTAATCCCACAAAAGATATAAAAATTATATTTTAGTGCACTGAGAAAATAGTAAATATGCTGGAATAATTGATTACAGAAAGAGATACATTATCTGCTTTGGATTTTCATGTACAACCTTTAAGGAGACTATAAATAATAAACTAGGTGATTATCTAAAATATAACTCAGAGATTAAGTTGTCATAAAGTTAGCAGAGAGAAGTCATCAACATTTGACATGTTGGGATAGTGCAATTCACCTCCCCACTGCACTGGAATAGAACGTCTTCAGATGAGCATATCCCTGACTCCTCCCACTAGTGGCCTTCCATTACTTTCATGCACATAACAAGAATTCCCAGATACATGGGAAGATGAGATGTAATAAGCTTCTTTTATATCTAGCTCTGCTATTGTGAATCAGAAAAATCATCTCACAATATGTCAAAGTTGCATGAATATTTTACACCATTAATTCATATTGTGTCAGCTTTCTTTCTGTCGGTGGCTGCTGCCGCGTAAGCATCGCTCAAGTCTCCCCTCCCGTAGTCGTCATGTCTAAGTCGGTCTCCCAAAGAGCCTGAACAGCTGCGGATGCGCTTCATTGGAGGTCTGAGCTTTGAAACAACAGATGAGAGTCTGAGGAGCCATTCTGAGCAATGGGGAACCTCCCAGACGGTGGTGATGAGAAACCCAAATACCATGCACTCCAGAGGCTTTGGGTTTGTCACAGATGCCACTGTGGAGGGATGGATGCAGCCATGAAGGCAAGACCACACAAGGTGGATGAAGAACTGTGGAACCAAAGACGGCTGTCTCAAGAGAAGAGTCTCAAAGACCTGGTGCCCACTTCACCGCAGAAAAATTTTTGTTGGTGGTATTAAAGAAGACACTGGAGAACGCCACCTAAGAGATGATTCTGAACAGTGTGGGAAAACTGCAGTGATTGACATCATGAGTGACCGAGGTGGTGGCAAGAAGCAAGGCTCTGCTTTTGTAACTTTTGATGACCATGACTCTGTAAACAAGACTGCCATTCAGAAATACCATCCTGTGAATGGCCACAACTGTGCAGTAGGGAAAGCCCCCTCTAAGCAAGAGATGGCGAGTGCTTAATCCAGCCAAAGAGGTCTAAGTGGTTCTGGAAACTTCAGTGGTGGTCGGGGAGGTGGTTTTGGTGAGAATGACAACTTTGGTCGTGGAGGAAACTTCAGTGGTCTAGGTGGATTTTGTGGCAGGTGTGGTGGTGGAGGATATGGTGACAGTGGGGATGGCTATAATGGATTTGGTAATGATGGAAGCAATTTTGGAGGTGGCAGAAGCTACAACGATTTTGGCAATTACCACAATCAGTCTTCAAATTTTGGACCCTGAAAAGCGGAAACTTTGGAGGCAGAAGCTCTGGCCCCTATGGTGGTGGAGGCCAATACTTTGCCAAACCGCAAAACCAAGGTGTCTATGGTGGTTCCAGCAGCAGCAGCAGCTATGGCAGTGACAGAAGGTTTTGATTACCGCCAGGAAACAAAGCTTAGCAGGAGAGGAGAGCCAGAGAAGTGACAGGGAAGCGACAGGTTACAACAGATTTGTGAACCTAGCCGAGCACAGTGGTAGTAGGGCCTAGCTGCTACAAAGAAGACATGTTTTAGACAATACTCATATGTATGGGCAAAAAACTTGAGGACTGTATTTGTGACTAATTGTATAACAGGTCATTTTAGTTTCTGTTCTGTAGAAAGTGTAAAGCATTCCAATAAAGAGTCTTAATGTAGTTTTTTTGGGGTTTTTTTGCACCCCTGCTGTTGATTGCTAAATAGACTAGTCTGATCATGATGCTGAATAAATGTGTCTTTTAAAAAATATATTTATATTGTGTTAGAAGTTTTAAAATTAATCATGTAATAAAATTTAATCATGATCATTATATACTTCTAAATACATCTACACTCAAAAACAAACAAACAAACAAAAAACTAGAAAAATAACCGAAATGTAGGTAAGTTGGCAAACCGGGGGGAAAAAATGGGCTAACCAAGTAGAAAAAAGAAAACTAAATTGAGACAGGAGTAGGAATAGCCACTTTTCTTACAGTTGGGGTATATTTCCTATACACCCAAAGTCAGCTAAAAAAAATTATTCACCCATGTCTAACTATTTCTTAGTGTTTTAATTATCAGCACTTTACTTTACCTTTATTGTTTTAGTCCAACCTGTAAGAATGGTTGGTAAATAGGAAAAGGAGCTAGTTTGATCCTAATATCCATAAAGAAGAGAAAAAAAAAGGAAAAGAATATATAGACAAGTTGATAAAACACTTTGAATTTTGTTCCTCCCCAATTCAAATAGCAAATAACATGTATAACAAGGCCTAGAATACTTCAAATATGCAATATTAATAAAAGAATAAATGGTATATCCCCCACCTTCTGAACATCAGCATCATGTTTCTGTTGAAGTTTAAGCTTCTCTTCATGACATTTAGCTTCTATCATTTTTGTTTTCATGTCCAACTGGAAGGAAAATATTTTACAGGTGTTAATAATTTACTTTTCCCCTTGGCAAAAATACACAATTAAATTAAAATAATTCACTATATGAAAGAGACTATCATTTTCCACTTTTACCCAATAGCCAAAGGCCCAGAAATCACATACATATACCAATTTGTTCGTTACATTCTTTGATTACTTCCAAGCTAATTAAAAATCTTTCAAATAAATTTCACTTGATAGGTAAAACTTATACTACTAAATACAAATTTATCAATTATCCCAGGCCCCGCAAAAAAAGTGCTAGTTTGCTAAATCAACTCTATTTTGGTATTTGTTTATATTTTCTATTTGAGTAAGTCTCTATTCAACCTTTTTACTTTGATCTTTTCTCACATCTATGTGCTCCTTTAAAAAATACTCTTTTAACCTATGTGCTAGTTTGGGAATGAACGTCCATAAATATGGCCTATTACTGATAACAGATTTTCCAGTTCTCTCTCCTGTAATCATAGACCCCAACTCCCTCAAGGTGGTGACTTTGTCTCCTTTCGAGTATTTAAATAACTTCTATCGTCTTCAAACCAATATCTAATACACCAGTATTCTGGGAAAAGCCAGCAAAAAATGTAACCAATACTTGTTGATGGCAATAAGTGCATCTTAGAATTAAAAGAATAGTAGTGACAGGTTTTAAGAACAACATAAAATTGGTTATCTCAAATGTAAAAGTATTTGACCACCTAATTCCAGCGATTCCTTACAATGGAGGCTGACAGGCCTCATTTCTAACTCTAATTCTAATCCCTATGTATTAACTGCTGTGATTTGGGGCAAGTAAACATTTTGAGATTCTGTTTCTTCTTCTGCCAATTAAAGATAATTATCCTTACCCAATGAACTGTGAAACTTACAGTCAATGGTATCATTTAAGTAACTATTCTCAGTACAATGTTTGGCAAAAAGTAGGTATACAAAAATATTAGTCTACAACCTTCAGGAAATGTTTCTTTTAAAATATTAAAAATATACTGTCAAAACATTTTCTTGAAAATTTTAAAAATATACTTCATATTTTTCAATTACTGCTTCAAATAAACAATGAAACTGAACTTCAGATAAACATGCATGATCAAATCAACATATCAAAATGAAATTTAAAAATTTTACAAACAAAAGTTAGCAATACAGATTCATGATTTTTAAATATTATGAGTGGTGGACAGAGAGGCAGCCATCCATTTACTAGGCAAAAGGAAAAAATTCTGAATGTTTCCGTCTTTTGCCTCTAAATCACATGATACTTCTTCCTCATTTCAGCTGAGAGGGGGCTGGGTGACCTAAGTCCATGTTAAGATCCTTAAGAGAAGCATTTTGGGGCTCTATTGAAAAGGAATCAAACTTAAAAATTAACATGACAAAACTGAGAAGATATGGGATACATAAGTTATTACCTTATCATTCCATAATGCTTTCTAAAGAGCTTGCCATGCCCTCAGCTTCTGAGCATCAGCCCTAATACCACATAAGTGCTGCCACAACCCAAGCCACCACCTCCACCCTCTCCACCTCAATCTTGGTTGACCAGATTGGAAATAAACACCGGACACATGCTTAAGAAATCCACTAGCTATAGAAGAATCATTCAGATTATTCTTGAGACAGAGAATCTGAATGAAGATAGCAAATTAGCTACTTTGGGGAACAACCCAAGCTGTAGAGGGGCAGCAACCAAGAGAAAAGAAAGCAGATGAATCCAACATACAGAAGAAAGCAAATACACAAACAGAGCCAAGTCTAGAAATCACACGGCATCTGAAATATGAAACAAGCAACCTCAGGCTCCAAGTCGCCATGATACTAGGCGTACTTGAATTCAGAAGGATTTCTGCATTCTTTTGGATTTTAGGTAGCTTGATGGATCTCTGTTCTTGCAACCAAAGAGATTTATCTGAATTCTATTGTTCTGGTATAGTGTTTTACTTTGGTCTAATATTAAACTGAAAGAAAAGTTGCAATAAGAGCACAAGAAGCTCCCAAACGTCCTTTACCCAGATTCACCATTTGTTTACATTTTGCCTCCTGTGTTTTATCATTTTACATCTATATGTACATATTTATACATACAAACTATTTTCTGAACCATTTTTGAGAAAGTGAGAGACCGCTTTATCCCTAAAAACTTGACTGTACCTTTCCTTAAAACAAAGACAGTCTTTCATAACCAGAGAAGTTAAATCGAAATCAGGAAATGTAATGTTAACACAATAATATTATCTACTGCACAGTCTATAGTCAAGTTTTATCAATTATCACAATAATGGCATTTACAGCTATTTTTTTCCCAGTCCAGGATCCAATTCAGGATCATGACCATGCACTGCCTTCAGTTATCCTATCAACTATAATAGATCTCCTTTAATCTGCAAAAGCCTTTCTTTGTGTTTCTTGACCTTTATATTTTTGAAGAGTACAACCAATTATCAAATGTCCTGCAGTTTGGATTTGTCTGATGCTTCCTCATGATTAGGCTTATTCGATTTTGGCAAGAGTGACACTAACGTGATGTTGTGTCCTTTTTCATTCCATCTTATTAGGAGGAGGTTGGTTTGTCCCAATATTGCTAATGTAAGGTTACAATAGTGAACCCCAAGTTGTAAGTGTAGAATTAAAGAGAAAGTTTCTCTACTGCCATCCTTTTAAAAAAAATAGTAGTATTTCTTCTCTGTAAAGGCTTACCTTGACACCACAAGATAGCTCTACATTTCTGCCCTTTACTCTAGGGCATGATTCACGATAAATCATCACAATTAGAATACAGAAACAATCTTACTAGTGTAGTATATAAAGACAATACAGGATACAAGATATAGATATAAATATATGTATACATATTTGAGCATCTATAGACAAATACATATATGTATATGTAAAAGGCAGTAAATAGCCTTGCTTAACTTAGTTTAACACAAAAGGCTGAAATGAAGACTAAATATAACACTTCTAATTTGTTTCACCTCCACATAACTGACTCCAAACAACATTTAAGTTTTCTTTAACTGGGCTCAGAACATACACTATTGATTTCAAACTTAAAAAGCATGGAGTTCCACTTCAGGTTATAATGGAGTAACCAGTACTGAACTCACCTCCCACTGTTAACAACCATAAAAGGGGATAAAATAGATGACGTATTAGAAGACAGGCAGTCAACACTGTCATCCTCACAAGCTGAGCCCCACTTTCACTCTGGCTCTGCATGGAAACAACCACATCACCAGGCCCCACAGATCCCTGCAGCCCTACTGAACTGAGAAGGTGAAGGTCAGAGTTCAGGGCAGTTGAAGAAGCCGGAATCTTAAGTATAAGGCACTAGGGAGGTAGGCACTGCCCAGCAGGATCCCCTCCTGACACTGGCTGGGATGTGTGTGCATTTAGTGCATGGCGACTACAAGGCAGAAAAATCTAAGAGACACGGTACATTAAACAGTGCTGGGGGATGCGGAAGGCTCAGCCAGCCAGAGTGGAGGCACCTACCAACAACTTGTGAATACCTGGGCCTCCAGATAAAATACCGTAAAGGCCACACCGAGGCCTACCCTAAACCTGCCCAGTGAAGCCTAAACGCAAGCCTTACGAAGGTCCTCAGAAGAGGCTGAGTTTGTAGATTTGATCCCACCATGCTGGACGATTTGGGAACCATGTTTTGCTTTCCACCGGTGTGCAAACCTCATCCTCTCATCTTCAGCCATTTGCACTGTGATCATGGTCTCTCTTTCCCTGGCTTCTGTGACCAGGTGCTAGTCTGGTCCTCCTCTCACTCTTGGGAATGTTTCTCTGTCTCCTTTGCAATGCCCAGTCTCCTCCACTATGTGTAAACATTTGCCCGTGGGGATTTTATCTGGATTTAACTCTAACCCCCCATAGGGACGAATCAGAATTTCCCAGTGCAGGCCTCATGTCCTTCCTAGGCTCCAACCGCCTGCTACACAGCTCCAGTTGGATGCTCCTCGCGCAAACAATCAGTAACATAACAGTGTGTACTATGTACCAGCAAGTCCCTATCTTTCACTCCTTACCCTCAACATCCAGTGAGTCACCAAGTTCCATCCCAGTGTGCAGTGCCTCGTCTCAGGCCCACCAGAACCATTCTGGTAGAGTTCCTCACTCACCCTCCCTCAACTGTTCGACAGCCTCTTCCCAGTGACTCCCCACTCTAGTCTTTCTCCCTACTAATCCCCCTGAGACACTACTGCCTCTGGGGACCCAGCTGTCAGAGCCCCTTAGCGGTGGAAGCTGACACGTTTTGGAGGTGGGCTGGCCTGGCCCCTTCTCCCTGGAGAGGAGAGAGAGGAAGACACACAGGCTGGTGCAAGGTTGCTTGTGAGTTTGCTGTACGTGTGAGTTTCATGTCAGTTTCTCCCTAGTGCACATGTGTTGTTGGTGCCGTGCCACTATTGTTGTGTATGTATATAAACCCCACCTCCATTTTGATGGCTCTCTCTGGCCCTGGCCTCAGATGAATAAAGAACGGTTGCTGCATTTATGGCACATCTGCCACGTGCTTTCTTTCGTTTGGGCATCTCACCATCAAAACGGTCCCTGACCGACACACTCAGACCTGTCACTTGGCACTGTGAGCAGGATTTGGTGAGTATAGTTGCCCCGTTGCCCCCAAGCGCTCGGGGGAGGACTCTGCCATGTGGCCCCCGACCATGTTGTGGCACCCGATCGCTGAGTTCCTCACGGCGTGAGCCCCTCCTGAGGACTGGAAGGCAGTGGAGCCCATACAGGAGGCTGTAGGGGAGTCATTAGGCCACATGGAGACGAGTATACCCATGGCCCACCATGAGTCAGTGGGGCAGGTTGCATGGCTGCTCCTCTCCATCTTGCGGTGGTGCAAGCAGTCACCGTAAGCGACCAGATGCAGCAGGTGCAGCAGCTGAGGCAGGCTCAGGAGGCACTGGAACAACGGGTCCATGCACTGGAAAAGGCAGTGGAAGGCCAGGTAGGCTCCCTGT